AATATTCATTATCGTCTGACTTACAACTTTCACTTACTATATTTTTCTGTTAAAGTACTTGGGATAAAGATCGATTTATGTCTCATGATATTGAAAAAGCTACACGTATTCTTAAATCTGGTATTGTAAGTATAGAATGAATTTAATAGATGAAAATTTTTTTTTTTAATAATTTAATTTTTTTTGTTTTTTAGATTTGGAAAACAGCAGAACCTTTTATTCAAAATTATCATAATTATTATTATATAAAACATCATGGTGAACCAACACCAACAGTTGAACCATTGGAACAAAAGCATACTGATTGAACAATTTTATTATTTTGTATTGTAGTTTTTTTCTATATTCCGAAAAGAAAGTGTCAATCAAGAAAATTTAATAAACTCATTTATTTTGTTTTTTTTTTTTATTTGAAAGTATCTTTTCATATAAAACAATTAATTATCGAATTGTTGCTTTTATGAGATTATGGAAATATTCATTTTTTCTTTTATATACCATTGTTCAAATGTTTTCATTCTTAAGAAGAAAAAAAACAGACAAGAAGAAGATAGCAAAATGATGAAATTCATATATGTTTTTAATCTTCTGTTAGGAATGATGATGATGATGATTATATATGCGAAAGATTATAGTGCAGCTGAATTACATCGATTACGCATTACAAAACTTTATCGAAATCATTTATTGATAAGATCATCAATGCAAAATATTACTCAAACAATAGTAGCTATTGGTCTAGGAATTATTGAAATCGAAGGAATTGATCCACAGCAACAGGTTAGTAAAAATGAGAAAAATGTTTATTCAATGTAGTGTCTACTTTTTATATCTATTTTGTGTATATAGCAGAGTTGAGTGCGGGACACTCCGGTCATAATACTCTATCCGACAGAAAGAAAGTACGTGCCCTATATTTGATCTAGTGTTCTTTTACACTTTTTGCATAGCACATACTGTCATTAGTGATACTTGATATATATTGAGAATGAGGATGTGGGTGTGGATCGCCTTGCATTCACACCTATCGAAAGCTATTTAAATTATACATAGTAGTCTTCTAATTATTATTTTATTATTTATAAAGAGCTTTATTTGAGTGGATGAACTTAATCAACACTAACTACTTACATTTTATTGTAGTTTTCTAGCACATGCTACAGAAGAAAAAACAGAAAAAGATGAATTTAAAAGGGTAGAGGAGAATTTCAATTAGAAGATGTCGAAAAAATACATCAAGATGAATAAAGAAAGATAATATTGTCTTCGGATTGAATTGATTTGATTGAATGAATTTTAATTAACGAATTACAATAGTTTATTAGAGAAGATAGGAGAGTTTTGATAGAATTTGTTCATACATATATAGTAAGTCGTCCTCACAGAAGTAAAGTTTGGTGAATGCAAAAAAACTAAAACCGAACCGGAACTATTAAATCATCAAATAGACATAAAAACTCTTACATCTATATCAAGAAATCTTCCTTGTTAGATTCTTGAAAAAAAAAATTTTTAGCAAATATATATATAATATTGTTACGTGTATGTGTTGAAATATGTGGCATCTTTAATCTCAATAATTCAATAGTTAAAATTTCTAAAAATTTATTTCTAATTTTCGTATCTATCTAATGTTTTCAGCATTTTTTATTTCACGTGATATTTTGAGAATTGAATGGCAACTGCGGTTTTTAATTTTTCGAGTCGCCGAACTGTAGTCGGAAATTGTTGAATACAAACTTTTTTACTGTAGGAAGTGCACATTTCTCTGTGAAACCTATTGATTCTCTCTCACTCTCAATGCATTCGAAAAAACAACAAAAGATCATTGATGTAGAGTATAGATGCAATCAAGTCTGGATGTTACAGAATAACAACTTGAGTTTATGAAAGCTCGAAAAATAATCCTATAATATTTGCCATGTTTATTTTTTCATTATTTCGATGTTTTTGTATTAAGAATAATCATTGTGTACGAAACATAATCATCTTTTTGGATACAAAAATCATCTATCAGTATTATTTATTAGCACCTCTCCATCGTCATAGACTGTAAAAGTTATAACCATGAGATGAATATGATAATTCTCCTTTAATTTTCTTTCACATTTATTGTAATTAATATCTTACATTAACCCTTTACCCCCGACAGTAGTTTCCGAAGCGCTAAGGATGAAAGAACCGTTGCAATAGAGTATTGATGCCTCCAATATGCCAAAAATATGAACAGATCAATCAAATACTACCTTTCGGTTTACGGCCCTTTCCTGAGGGGGAGTACGGGAAATAATTTGAAATAATTTTCTAATGCTTTCAGGAAAACTGATGTAGTTCGGTCAAAAAGCGTCACAGAGACCTCGGCGACATTTTATATTGTAGGAAACTATTCGCTTTATAATTCTGTGTGGTTGAAACAAAATTTTTATATTGATTAGTAGATGTTGATAAGCAGAGACGGCGATGTTTTAGAAATCCTTTAGGGATCATTCTGTACTTTACCTTACTTTCCCTACTAAACTATCCTGAAATTTCTGAAATCTAAACAATCCACTAGTGAGCACTTTCTTCAATATGTGTCACATAGCAGATCGTCGGAATATGTCTTGCTCAAATATACGGAGACTTTTCCAACAAAAATTGTCTTTTTTTAAAATTATCGATTTTATAAGCCGTGTATTTTGGAGCGAGTGCAGTGAAATAAACGGGATTTTTTTACTGATCGATAGTCCATAAAATTTACTACAAAAAGTGTTCTTAGAGTTTCTGGATCTCGTGCTTCGTTAATTTTTTACAACTGTTTTTCTAATGTCCACTGTAGTGGACATCCGGGGGTAAAGGGTTAATATAAGAATGTTTTTCATTTTATTTTAATAAAATATTGTGTTGACCGATTGCGCACAATTTATCATCACATTCTCATGTTTATATTTTTATCATTGCAAGAGAAGATACTATCCAATAATATGTCATTTGAATGATTGACATGAGTACTCAAGAGTCATATAAAAACATTTGTTTAGAGCTTATTCTTTATCTGCATATAAAATAATTTTGTCTCATCTCAAGATTTATGGAAACATCTTATATTCTCAATACACGTATTGACCATGAAGATATATATAGAATTCTCATCTACTAGTTTATATGCTTCTAAGAACAGTCTCTTTTTTTCTTCTAAGTGGATTGGACCTATTGTACATTGAAGTAAATATAGTACAAAAAACAAAATGTTCCATATCAGTGTATAGCAGTGTAAAAACATTGCCTTTTTTATGTCACAATCAAAAGTGATAGATTTTTAAGAATAATGGCGAACTTTATCTTTATGAATAAAAAATCATAACTTTCCTGTGACAGATAAATACAGAAACGTATTGAATTAACGTTGATAATCAGTTATGGAATAATATGAATCATAAATATGACGTTGGCTGTTGAGATATTCTGTAATTATCGATATGTAAACTAAAAAGATATGATCAAGACATTTCAAATTTGTTATGTAATCAAATGGTTTAATCATATCCACTTTCTTTAATATATTGTTGGGCTAAATATTATTACAACTTTAATTCTTCGATACACAAGAAGAAAAAAAGAACAATACAAGATGAAGAGAAATTCTTTTTATCGCTTTGCAAATGTTTTCATTCGATATATGCACACATTTATTTAAATAATATTGACATTCGTTCACAAATGAGGCATTTAAAAAAAACAATTTGTCCTAATAGAATTCGAGTAACTTCAAAAGTTTTTCATGAAATCTGATGGTTGAATCTAAATTTTCATTATGTTGATGTTATTCAAGTGCTAATGAGCTTGAGAAGCATCAGGTCACACCTATGAAATTCTTTGTAACATATGTTTGTCTTATATATCATCGAACAAACTTCTTATATCTGTCGATGAATATTTCAGCTTCCGCTCTTAGTCAAAAGACGTCATTGTCACAAAGAAATGTTGCAATGACAACGATAAATGAATGATTAAAAGAATAAGATAGTGATACTAGTTATGCTATCAATATATCGTTAAAGATTTGCGGAGATATAAAGAGAAGTATAAACATAAAAGAAAACGTGAAATAGTTTTACGAACGTAAAGTTATTTTATAAAACGAAGAAGTATTATGAATAAGTATTGAGATATAAATACTGAAATGTGACGATAAAATAAATAAGAACAAGCAAGAACTATTCAAAGCTAAGGATATAATTATATAGTTATAAAAGATTGAATAAAACAATAAAAGTGTATACAAAGAAGTGCATACATGAGGATATAAAACTAATGATAGAACTGAATGCTAGTTGTTGTCAAAGTTGTATGCTTTATAGCTGTAGAGGCTTTAAAAAAATATTTGAATTTAGTCACTTTTTATCTCTATAAGGTGTTGATTGCAAATCGACGAAATACAGTTATAGAACTATTCAACTTATGTCTTTAAATATCAGCACTTAGCTTCATGAAAAATAGTCTTTATGTCTTTTGAAAAGATATAATATTATTCTGAAAAAAATTCTTAGAATCTGACATAAGCAAATATTTTAGTTTCTTCTATAAATTGTTTTCATTTTCTTTCTCTCATTATAAATTAGCTAAGTAACATCATTGGAAGCAATACATTGACAGTTTTTGTTCTTATACGATTCTAACACAGAAAAAAAAGAGATAACTGCCTCCGTTTCGGCAAACAAACGGGTCTAGAACTAAATATACCATTTTGCGTTGTCAGCGTTAGATGTCATCACCAAATAATTCATTACAGTAAGATTTTGTTTTAGTTATATATAAGCTTATCAAGACCAAATAGATGTTCATTTGTCGTTTTTTCATCATGTTTGCAGTTACACTATTTTACTGAATTTAAAGTAGTATACGTTTCATGTAGATGCATGCATATTTCCTTATCTTACTTGATAAATATGAAAATTAATCATATGAATCTATTATTATTATTTCTATTCCAGAATATATAATACATTTTATTGTAAGAAATGAATTCAAATTCATTTTCCAAAAATCGTCATCGTGTTGCAAAAGGTTTGAAAGGTGCTGTCACGGATTATTTTATCGAATATGAAACACCAAAAGTAGTTGTAATACATAACGCAAAATATGCTGCAATACTTCGTATTATACAAATTTCTATTCTTATTTATTCTGTAGTATATTTACTTATACATGAAAAGGGTTATCAGAAACACGATACAACAGCTATATCATCAGTAGCACTTAAAGTAAAAGGCATCGGGTATGTTGCTACGTCAGAAAATAAAACAATCATTATTGACGGAGCAGGTATATTGAAAAACAAAACAAAGAATCTTATTGAAAATCAAATCATTATTTTATCTTAATAGATTATATTATTCCACCATCAGAGAATAATGCTATATTTATAATGACAAATTTTATTCAAACTGATCAAAAACGATCTACATGTGCTGAAAGTAAAAAACTTAGAGAAGCAAAATGTAAAAATGATAGTAAATGTATCAATCAACCATTTATACCGAGTATGAATGGGCGTTGGACAGGTCGATGTTTGTTGCCACCAGATGCAAATGTTGTCAATGAAACAACAAATGATACAAAAACTACAATGGGCTTATGTGAATTTGCAGGTAGACTTGTTTTCAGTTTGCAAAACTTAACCCTTTGAGGGCGAAGCCCGTATATATACGGTTTGAAAATTCCACTGGAAATGAAAATCTTTAGCTTTGTTCAAGTAGATTCTTTGAGTGTTTTGTTCCTTTTCCTATCTAAAAAATCTCTATTTGTGTCTTTGCAATAAGAACCAGTATAACAATTATGATAGTTAATTCGTTTCAGGTTAGAACTGATTCTGACACTACGATTTTATTCCTTTTATAAAGAAAAAGTNNNAAAAAACTTTTACTATCATAATCAAATAAAACTCCAACTATTATATACCATTCGATAGAGAATTTCACGAGCTACAAAATGGTATATGAAACATAAAGAAACACGAAGGCTAACTCACATATTGCCAAGATAATCAGACGGAAATCGGTTCTGTTTTCGTCCAAGCTCTAATTGTGGATCAATTAGAGCTCAATTTTCTGATCACAGAGATGATGCTTTGAGGTTTTCTGGGCTGGAGAACTCGAATCTGTACTCCACTTACCTCGAAATTCTATTGGTTGAGGGGTAACCAATAGAAATCAAGTGATAGAAAAAAACGACTATCTTAGCGTAGATCAAGACGACGAGTTCGAATCTGAGCTGTATTCGCCTCCAAGTCATATTGGGTGAGCATTAGCCAACAAAGTCAAGTGTTTATAGGAAAGATTTGCCAGGATAATTTTGATGTCCACACATTCTATGATGACTCATCTGTCTAATTCACTTTTTGAAGTACACATAACTCTCGGATTTAAATCCGAGGTTTCCACATTTATTTAATTTTAATGCAAAAGCGTTAGCGTTTTCTTAACACTAATGCTAAGCCGACACCCCTAAATATATAGAGAAAAGTACATAAGTTATACTATTGACAAGACACTGAGGACAATGTCTAAAATAGATATCTTCGAAATCATTCTTATCCGATAACACAATATTCGAAAATTTTCTAATTATTGTCCAACAAAGAAAGGAATAGTTTTTACCAAATTTACTCAAAAGAAATAGATATGCTTACGATATTCTCATTAAATATAAAGGGTCATATTCCATTAGCCTTAACGGGAACATATACACAAAATAGTTAGATTCTATAATCACAATCGTATTTATTCGAATGTGAAAAATTCCTTTTCTCATATAATAAATATGCACCAAGAAAAAAGAACATATTAGACACTCAGATTCTAACAAAAAGAAAAACTACGCATGTGCGTAGTTTTGGGGTGAAAGTCAACAGATGCCACCGAGATAAGAATCAAATTACATATAGTACAAACAATTAACACAATAAGATTAATAATCGGCAAGTATGTGATATTAATAATGATAATCTGACAAAAGAAAGATCAGTTTTAATTAATAAGTTGAAGTTTATCACGTCGAACAAATATTCCACGTTTATCTGGACATTCAAAATAAATCTGTCCATCAAGTGAACCATTATTTTTTCCTGAATTCAAATTAGATAATTTTTTCTTTTAAAAAAGACCAAAAAAAACAAATATTTAACTTACCAACTGGTTCATCAAGTTCAATTCCATACCAAATACCTGTTTTAATAGAAATTTCTCCAATAAAACGAATAGTACCTGGCTTATTAAATATATAATGACCAGTATTTACAGTGACACGTGAACCGATTGTATAATCTTCATTGATATTATTATTATTATTATTATTGATTATTGGTTTTGATAATGATTCAATAGATTGACTTAATAGTATATCATATTTTTGTTCAAGTGTATTTTCATTTTCTTGTTGTTTATTATCATCTAAATCGATTGTATGTTTTATTTGAAAAGTTGATGTTTGTATAGGTTGTAATTGTTCTTCTTCAATAAATAATGAACGTGATATCATACTTGGTGTTGAACTATTTAATTCCGATCGACTTAATGATAGTGTTGTTTCATTAGGAATACTTAAAAGTTGATTGTGAATAGTTTCTCGTCGAGAATTTGCTGGTGAACTACTTGAATTCTGTAGAAATAGAAGCATTACAAATTGATAATACAATTGTTGAGCTTTCTATGTTATGATAGATCGATTATTATTTATCAATAAACAATATCTATCATGTTTTACATTTAATTAGTATTGAGATTTTGGTGAAAATTTTCTTTTTCCATCAGACTATATCGAAACGACTATTATAGTTTAATAGCATTCATTCACAAAAGGATTTCTTATAATGTCAACTGATTTTTTAGCTGAAACCGTGACTAATGAGTGAATCGTTTAGATGATACTGAGCAATTATGACAAAAAGGACAAAAAGCCGACCAAAAACAAAAACATAATAAGAAATAGAATATAGATCTAACCCTAATTCTTTTTTGATGCGTTATATTTGGTACACTTGTTGCTTTGGGAACTGTTTGTTGTTTTGCCGATTTTTCTGCTAATAATACTTCCTAAAAATAATTTTGAATATTTTCTTTTTTAATTAAATTAAATTTACTTGTCTTAATTTATCAAGTAATAAAATTGAATCAATATTTGAACCATATTGAATATATTTTTGAATAACATCATCTGAACAACATTTAAAAGCAATATTTTTTTGATCTTCAATATCATGAAGATGTTTTGGTATATGTGATACTATTTCATAAACAACACTTGTTCCTTTATGCGGTTTCTATAAATACAAAAATAAAAATATTTTATTAATAATAAAGACTTCAGTTTTACATAGCCAAGAATATTCTTGAGTGCTTTTTCCGGCCACCATCCTTCTGTTTTACTAATTGTTATAGCAATGCGTTTACGTAAAACAAGTTCCATATGAACTGGTTGAGAAATCATTATAATAATTTTAACAATCAAATAAATAAGTGTATCATTCGGTGTGACTTGATTCCTAATTGCAAATAAGTATTTTAAGACAAAGAAAACTAAATATAAACAAACAAAGTTTACATTGTTGTTGATTCATGAATTGCTGGATCCCATTGAGCAACAGCACAAATCTAAAAATGACTAAAATATGTTCTAAGCTTGTCTAAAATAGTTATTTATAAACCTCATCAGATGCATGATGAATTAATGGTAATTGAAACATTGGAGTTTTGTTTTCCTTGCTTAATGTTGCTTGAAGACCAGCTGTATTATTTGATTTATTTATATCAAGAGGATCGAGGTTCAGAAATACAATTGGACGATGTGTTTCGATCGTTAGAGGTGGATTCCAAGCAGCTGGACAACCTGAAGAAGTAAATTATTTTTATTTACTAATGTGATTTCTTTTTTAAAATTCTCCTTTCAGTGTGTTTCAGAATAAATTTCACTAAACCTTCGTGGTTTTTTTTTTTGCTTCTTCCTCTATGTGAAAAAAGTTCCTTTATGTATCAAAAGATAGAGTATTTCAAACTCTACAAAAACTATCATTGAATTTTTCTTTTGTATTTTCACTATTGACGCTAAACTTTAGGAATTTCACATCAACTGAACTTTCCTGTTGCGATAGCGAAAAAAAAACAAACAAATGTTGAAAAAATGTTAATGAGGACTCCACTGAAATTTTAGCTATGCTACGCAATTCTCCATCGACTTTCGAAGAAACCATTTTCAAGCAAAAAATGTAAATAATCGAAATAATAAAAAAACGTTTTTTCATAGATTAGTAATAGTATATTGTTTCTTTATTTGAAGCAACGTCAGTATGTTCACTAGTTCATTTTATAAAATTTCTAGGAACAAGCAAAAGTCGACAATTAAATAGCGCTCAACATTTATTCATTTAGTTACAGTAAGACATTTTTAACGTGAGCATCGTCGGGTGACCGGCTAAATGTGCTCACTCTATGAGCGTGAACATTATTGGAAGGTTTTCAGCTTCTTTTTTTCAACTTATAAGTATTCGACTGATGTTACTAGCTATTAAAAATAACAACGAGATGTTACATCAAGCACTGCTGCTGTTGCCTACTATAGGTTTTTTTCTTTTAAACATCCACGTCTAGTCTATCTCCTTTTTATAAGTGTTCCGTGATTATTTAACACAAAGCAATATATAAAGCATCTTTTTGGTTCGTGTTCTACATTTGAATGATAAAACATATGTTGTTTACATTACAGAGATTGTTAATGTTCGCGCAACAAAAAATAAGTGCCCACTGTTCAGAATAAGGAGACGCTGATATATAAAGATTTACGGTAGTTTCATTGCTGTGAAAGTCTTGTTTGATTCCTTCTAAAAAAAAAACAATTCTTATGTACTCTTATCTTGAAATTTGATATTATAGTTCTACTGTAATATTAATACAATGAAATCATCAAGTGACTATTACTTAGATTATTTTTTTGGTTGTGATATGGTAATCGAAAGAGAAGATTTTTCCTTTCTGAAAATCATAAATAATATTTATTCAAATAACTTACCAGGTATTCCACTACTTGATGGTGGAAATGATGCAATATTATGTTCTTCAGCTAAACGTACAAGTTCTTGAAGTAAAATACTTTCTCTATGAATATCAATTTGTGTTTTATCTAAATAGTAAAAGAGAAAAAAAAATCACACAAATTTTCATTTATAAAAAAAATCTTTTTTTGTTTTTTATTTACTAGTTTGTTCACTCAAATTATTAATTTGTGATTCAAGATAAATTTTACGTTTTTCAATATAACTGAACCATTTAGCTCTTAAACATTGTAAATCTTCATCTTGATATGAATCTAATTGACATGGTTCATGTATACTTTTTGTAGTTATTGAACCTATTTCAACAGATCGTACTTCATGAAGTAACAATGGCATTGGATCTGATCGAGGAATTATTCGTAATTGTATAACAAGACGTTTGGATTGACCCTAATCACAATAAACTTCAATATCATAGTAGAACATCTTATTTTGTAATCTAAACCTGTTTTAATCGATAAATACCACCACTAATAATTTTTTCTTGAGCATCAACTTCAACTGGTTTCCATTGTCCTAATAAATCTAATTCATGAATTTCAACTGAAAATTGTACATGTCTTTTCACATCTTTCCAATGTTGACTTATTTCTTGAATTAAAATATTACGTCGATTAAATTCATTATTTTGTATTATATCATTTGCTTGTGATTTTGTATTATATTGATACCAAACTTCAATTGATACAACACTTTCGAAACATGTAGAAAGAAATTGATCAGTCATGGGAAATATATATTCCTTAAGAATGAAAAAAAAAACAAAAACAAAACAATAGGCAATTATGTTAAATTTCTAAATTAACTTTATGTTACATTTTCATGATTGAATGAAAATTGACGTGATTTTTGTTCGCTATCATTATTAGTAGAAGATTTTTCAGAAAGAATTGTTTGATCTAATTTTGGATTTATAAACGTATAACGACACATAACATATTCAGCATTAGATTGTGGTAGATCTCGTGCTTCTTTGATGGCGAACTATTTTTAAATAATATTGTTCGTTTTCTTTTTGTTTTTTTTTTTTGTAAAAAAATAAATAACGTACTTTAATTGTTATTTCATCATTTTGATTATTTGATAATGTTGATGAGTCACCAATACCTTCATCTTCAAGACTATGTTGACTGTTACTATTATTACTGAGATTTTCTTCATCAATATCAACATTGATGCCATTACCCCTACTGCTACATGCTGTATTATTTATTTGAAATTCGTTGAATTTTTTCATTGATGATAAACCTGTTTGACTCATAACAACATGAAGTGAACCAGACATCTGTTTAAAAGAAAAAACAAATATGTTGTATTTATTAATTGAAGAAATCGAACAATAATATTTTTCGAAACTTTCAGATTTTGTGAAAGTATAGCTTCGCATTATATACTTAAATTAAACATGTGTAGGATTAGTCTATCCTGCAGGGTAAGAGGTAGAGAACTTCTCTTATTTAGGTCGCAAGATAGTATCCTGCAACCAGATCGGAAAACTGGTGCCCGGCTCGATACGAAGCATGGGTTCAGATACAAACTCGCTGGGTTGGTTCGAATGCTAGGTATGATTTCATATACGAACATAGTCTAGCAGATAATGAGATTTCAACGTGTCATAATATGTTTACTTTTTCAAACTGTCAATTTATATAAAAGCATAGGAGTGAAAACCTAAGCAATTTATTATATTTGAGAACAGGTGATAGAAGTGTAAATCAATATTGTTTTTCTAGTAGAATTCGTTTTTAATGAAAATCCATTTGCAAATGATAATAAGCCGTATATCAAAGTAACTGAATATTTTGAGATGAAAATCAATTATAGAAAATGTGAACATGTATTATTGCGATGGAAAAAGCATCCATGTAATCTACGATTATGACTTTTAACACCAACATTGTGTTCTATTCAAGCTTCATCGACAACAAACACATAAATACATAGCGAAATTGATCGAATTTTAGAAGCAGAAAGACGTCGAGTGAACTTTGAATCACTTGNTAATTATCTCCTCTTTCGAATAGATACTGACAAGATTTTTTTTGACTTAAAAAAATGAACATTAAGGCAATACTTTTATACTCCTGAGAGGGGGGTCTTATAATTATGCAACGAGTGAAATTCAAAATTTCTTGAATCTAAATATTATTAATATTTAACCAAATAGAGATCAATATAGCACATCATAGATGCTTTAGCGGTGTCTATCAGAGGTCCAAACAGGCCTCGCTTTTCAGGCCTCTACGGCCTGTCAGGGCCTGTCAAATTTTTCGAGCATGTACAATTATGATGACAGACTAGAAACCAGAGGTCCAAACAGGGTACTAGGGCTATTGCTCAACCAGGTCCTGACCTGACTGTTATAGGCATCACCCATGGTTTTCTGACTAATGAAAGTGACAGGCCCAGCCAGGCCAACAGGCCAAAAATTGCTTGAATCTCTGACTTTCACTAGTCGGAAAACCATGGGTGATGCCTATGACAGTCGGGTCAGGATCGAGTTGAGTAATAGACCTAGTGCCCTCTTAGCATCTATGGTTTCTAGTCTGTCATCATTACTGTAGTCGCTCGAAAAACTTGACAGGCCGTACAGGCCTAAAAAACGAGGCCTGTTTGGACCTCTGGTGTCTATATATATGGCATTAGATCCCTTATCAAAGCTTCTTTAGTTGGTGAAAACTTTATTATTCTCAAACTTGTAGGGGGGAGTCTTATAATTTTGGGAACCCCTGTATTTCATATTACTATGCCGTACATTGATAAGACAAAAATAAATAAATAAAAAATTACATAACGATTTCTGTACATTTAAATACTTCGATGTATTTTCTTTTGTCTGTTAAACTTAACATTCTATTGACAGATGAACTAATCTAAAGATAAGACAAATAGTTATAAGCAGCCCAAGATAGAGTTGTAATCGATCCGACTAGACCGAGTGAAATAGTTGAACATGCTCGTCTTCATCAATTTTTATCGGTTGAACGTAATGCTTTAAATATACTATATTTTTCTAGTGAAATATACCGAGAGAAACTTCAAGTACTTTTATTAAAATAAACAAACAGTATTGTATCAGATATTATCATTTCTAATGTTTCCGCTTCTCAACACTCTTTTATTTCTTTAATTGAATTATATTTAACTTTGTGAAAGGACATAATAGGACCTATCCACGTGGACAAGAGATTCTGAAAACGTGTTTAAACTCCCTGGATAGCGTTCTTATTTAAGTGCTTTCACATCCTTTGAGAAAACACTAACCTCATCTACTTTCATCGTAAAAAATGCATGGAGACATTTTTTACATCTAGAAAACATGCAACATTTTGATGTGTTTTGCAGATTAATTCTCTATGATGTATAACACTTACGTCTGTTCGTCAAGTTTTATAATCAATCACTAGGCTTTTGCGAAATTCACGCATATATTCGAAAAAACATTGATTCGTTTCCATAGCAAACAAGGACAACAGACAACAAACTTCTTTCCCAGAGTTTCTTAGCAACGGAAAAAAGTGTTGAATCTATTAATGTATCTCAATGAAGTCAGAAATAGTGATAATTATACATGAGTTTTACGAAAGAAAAAAATTCTGTTCAAAATGTAGAAATAAATAAGACAGATTGTTTTCCTAGAGATCGATTATTCTTGGAAAACAACTATAGTCTGATAGAGATATTTCACTTAACGTATATCGTACTAATATAATGAGGTTAACACATTGAGGATTGGTTTCTGTTTTTTTTTAGAAAAAAGTTGAATTTTTATTTACAAACCGATCATAGTTGAAAAATTATCAATTATAATTTCTTCATTCAGATTTAATCCAAAAGATGCACTATGTTTATTTTGAAACAATAAAAATACTTCCAAGGAGTATAACTAACAACAATTTAATAACATATGAGAAGGGAATTTAATGCAAAAACAAACAAAAAAGGAAAAGTGTAATCAAGTATGAAGTTCCCTCGAAACAATCAACTAGATAAAGACCTACATTACAATCTTTACACGTACAGCGTGGATTAGTCCTCTTTCTAGCTCTTCGACTAATGTATGCATATACAACACAAATTTTCTGAAGAATTTTTCTATTTATTGTTGGAGATACAAGAGATGAAAAGTACCTAGTAATAAATCTAGTTAGTTAATGATTCAATCTAGAACAAACGTTTGTAGATTTTGAAGCACTACAAGATTATGAAATTTCATAAATAAGTTGAAAATGATAATCTACATATTTAAGTATCTTTCCGACATTGACTTTATAAAGCAAATATGCAGTGAACGATGACAAACTACACTGAGCTAAATATGTGTACACTACATCTAGACAATTCTAATAGCTCTATATGTGTAACGTGTATATTGAAATAAAATTCATACCAAAATCTTCAATTTTAGTGTATTTCAGAGTTCTTCCCTTTGTTAAATTTTGGAAATAGTGTCAATGGTTCGAAAGAAAGAGATTGAAGAGTAAAATCTGAAGTGGGATAGATCGTGAAGAATTAAAATTCACAAAAAAAGAATCTCGAATAAACAAAATCACGATAAGTGAGAATCCAGAAAAAAAATTCTCACCAACTATGAAAATTTCAACAGTATAAAATATACTAGTAATGTGATTAGTTGATAGATACATCATTTATCAGTCATTAATTTATTGAAAAAATGCCAACAAATTTAAGAACTCAGAATATACGTATACTCCACGGGATATGATGTGATGTGAATGTGCGTGACTGTAACCGCGTATCTTCTCCTCAACCACGCTCATGCCGCCCCATACAAGAAGGTGATTCCGAGCTTGGCCCTCAAAAGATTAAAGAACATATGTCAATTTCACAGTTTAGTCCCAAAGAGACTGCACTGACACACTTTCCTGTACAAAAACAAAATATTATCTTATCTCTATTACTAGTAAATTATAGAATCTAGCACAGCACAGGAGGTTTTCTTTTGTGTTTTGAGATAAATAAATGTACTGAATAATAAAAATTATTGAAAAGTAACTAAAGAATATATTTAATTGTCTGTAATTCTTACAGATCAATTAATTTACTATCCTTATCAAATGCAATGACTATGATAATCTATTCGAAGAATTTATAGTTTAATCTGACTTTTTTTCATTTCTTCTAATTTATTCAAAACAATAAAATAAAAGATGACACAAGCAAAAACAAAAAGCAAAGTTTCTTTTATTTTTTTGTTGCTTCAATTTCTTTGACTAGTTTCTTATAATTCGATTCAAAATCATTTTTAGTAAAATCAATATATAATTTTGTACCAAGAAGTATACCTAACCATCCATCTGGTTTATATTTCGATTGTGATAATATTGGTATAAAAGGCTTTTTTAATCGATAAGCATATTCTGCTTCACTTTGACAATTCGGTGATTGTTTATATTTTTCCGACATACACATTATTATAAGACATGATTGTTCAATAGCATGCGCCATACAATCTAATGTACTTCCATGCATATCATCAGTATCCATCCAAGTTCGATAACCTGAATTACGAAGATATTGACAAATTTTATTTACTAAATCTTTTGAATCATGATTATAACTAAACATAATATGTTGAGATGGTTCTGAAATAATTAATTTATTTGATATATTAGTTATTGACATTGTTTGTCGTAGTTGCCAAAGTATTCCTTTTGCTGCTTGTTGTATTATTTCATTTGGATTTGTTTCACCTAATTGAACTAATAAAGCAAAATATTTATCATGACTATGAATTTTTTTTGCACATGAATATTCAAATGATAAAAACCATATTGATTCGAGTATAATTTGAATTTCTTCTTGTTGTTCTAATAATGAAGAAAATTGACGGAGTATTTGAAATAATAAATCAATATTTTCATCTTGTTTTCCAGCACGTATTTGAAATTGTTTATGTGTACATAATTTTTTTAAACAATTAACTAATGTTAATAATGATATTTGATTATATAAATAATAATTATGACATTTAAATGCTTGATTAATTGAAGAAAATAATTGTTCACATAGATGATGACATGAATCATCAGATTCAAGTTCTTTTTGTGTTAGAATATTTGAATAAAGTAAACATGACATAAGACGTACCTGTTGCACATCAGATTTAAAAAGTAATCGACATATTTTATTTATAATTAAATCTTTATTTAGTATTTGTTGATCGACTGTTGATATATTATAAAGAATTGATAGACAAGATATTAAAACATTATTATGTAATTGTTTTAAAACCATTTTACCATCACCAAGTGTTGATTTTTGAATAAGATTAAATGTATAATTAGTTACAGAATTAATTAAACTAATACGATTCATTTCTTGTAAAAAAAGATTTGTTTCTTTACTAGAACTTGTTAATAAATTACTTAAACATTTAACAAAATACCATAATGGAACTGTTGTTCCACAATCGATAAGTGCATCAAATAGATGTTTAAAAGTAGAAACGAACGCACAACTGTGAATTTCAATTTCAGAATGAAGAACAAATTCACTCAGTAAATTAATTATATGAGTAAAAACAAAAACACGATCATTTGAATCTGTTTGTGATCGAGCTGTTTCATCGATAATACATTGTATAAAATGATCACTATTTTTTGTTGATAATAATGGAATAATAATTGAATGATAAAAATCCGTATGATTAACAAGATAAATTGAAAAACGTGGAATAGAAGCATATGTTAAAAAGAATGTTAAAATTTGATTAATTAATAATGATGAAGTAACTAATGAAGATTCAATAAGATAGATAACAAGTCGACAACTATAATCAATAATGGATAATGATTCATGTATTGATGTTTTTCGATGATGACGAAAACTAAAACAAGATCCAATAGATGATGAATGTGTTTTATATTTCGATGATGTAGAAAATAATTCATTGAGAAAATCTTCTTGATTTTTACAAATAAGAGAGTAATGTTCAATACATGAGTAAATTTCTAAATGTAAATCTTGACTAGAAGACAAAGATTTTATTCGTCAAATAAATATCTATGTATGACCTTACCTAATGGATTTAGTTACATGAAAATCAATATCATCTCGAAGCCATTGAAGAATTGAACATATGATCATCTTACTTTGATCACTTGCTGCACATTCAGCATCTATTTGACATAAACATTTAAATAATCGACATACCATTTGAGCAAGTTGCTGTTGTTGCTCGCTCACTTTCCCTTTTGATTTCCATAACGTTGTTCGATCAATAGAAGAGATAATTGTTTGAATAATATGAATAAAAGATTCTAATGAATGATAAAAGACTGTTTTTTCACTTTCCAATCGTGAAACAAGTTGTTCTAATTCATTAATTGAATTTTTTGTATGATTATGATAATCACGAATTTTAAAATGTGAACATTTTCTCAGTATCTGTTGTGTTGATTCGTCTATCGCCATCATTCTTGAAGGTACAACATTGTTCGAATGTATATTTATTTGCACATACTCTCATATGATTACTCATACAAGTTAAAGAACGAATGCATAAAGAACAAAAAAGAAAAAGAAAAGTAATTTTTTTTTTCGTTCGTTCTATCACCTCCAACGAACGAAACACTGTGCGAACTTACGTCACATAGTTGCCCTTACACAAAAATGGTATCAGCTTGAATGTTAAGCAGAGAATAAAGAAGTAGAAGAAAAACGTTTGTAATTACAGCCATTATTCGCCATCAATATTTCGAAATAAAAAAGCACAAAGGAGACAAGATGCATCATACTCTTATGCATTCCACTTGATAGAGTGTACATCATGTTAGAACTTTTCGTAAGAATAACGTTTCATCTTCGTACTGTATAATATTGAGAAAAAAATGATGATACAAAAAAGAGAATTGAATATAAAATTTGTAAAAATAAAATATATCACCGCAAACTACGATAATGCTGAAAGTATTTATTAAAATAAAAATGTTTGTCTAATAGCAAAGAAAAAAAGCAGTCATATTCTTCATCTGTGTCTATAATTTTAAACTTTGAGACATTTTTGGACGCGATAATTTCCTCTATCAACAATGTGCATATTCATTGCTTAATCGAATGCAAGACTTCTTGGCCCATTGAGTTGCATGGCACTACTAACAGTTGTATCAATGCCAGCAATTGTAATTTCAGCTTGACTGTTAACATAAAACATTTGTATTCGATCATTACCAGTATCAACAATATACATATTTAGATAAGTATCAATTTTAATACCCGTCGGATAACTCAAAAGAATTCAGAAGTTTGCCTTGATGTGTCTGATACACCAGCTGCATAATAACTTGATGATGCACTAGACGTCCATCGAATTACTGAATATCCAGGGTGTGTGGGTATGGGTGAGAATGCATTTCTACTCACATCCCACACCTATCCTTTCCTGACTAGACCTAGGACAGCTGCAGCTTGTGAACTGTTGAAACAGATAAGTTCCTATCAAAAGAACTGTTCGAATAGATTAGTACAAATTATAGAGCATTTTCTAGAGTTCCTCAAATTCGAACTAAAACTGAACTTGCCCACCTCTAGCCCTGACAGAATCAACATTCGAATTGGCATCTGTAACAAATTTTGAGTAGTGTGAAGTCATTACAGAGGGTACTGATCAACTCATTGTATGATTTATTTCTCGTCTTAGAAATGAATTTGACAATTTCAATAATGCATTGATAGCAACTACGTTTCTTTCTAAAGAAAACTAAATAATTACAGTAGAAATTAATACGATCTCTGTGTCTCCCATGTTAATGCTAAGCACAGTTTTTTGTCGTTGATACCAATCGGATTTTGAATAGACGAGTGTTGGTGGTTCATCATTTTCTATTTAGAAATTCTTTCTATAATGTTTTAGTTTGGTAAACAAGAAAAAAGAACAATGTATTAAACTCCATCATACTTTTGACACAATAAAACTATTTGTTCATTTCTTAAACGATACCAAATGGGCATCCTATACAAGGAAGATTAGTCTTCGGTCGCAGAAAAATGTTTGTTTAAAAGAGCATTTATCGTAATATAGAAGAATCATTAAAAGAAACCAAATCAATATCTTTACCAATCAGCGTTCTTTCTTTTGAATAGATAATCCAGATTTGCATAGTAGTTGTCGTAGTGACTACACGTATTATAGCTACAGCTAGAACAGAAACATTTATTACTGTGCGAAACCCAATATCAAATTGCTTTGTATACACGAGTAATAGATGTTGTTGTTGCATCCATTGTCGCTGAACATAAAGAAAAATAGTAGATAACATCTTGATGAGATTATAAAAATGGATAAAATATAGAAAATTTTATAAGGAGATGATATTATAAGTGTACAAATAATCGTTTAAAAAACCTAAACACTTTTTCTAATATTTTCAATAAGATTTCTATCGACATGTTATAATACAGTTATGTACTAGGTACATAAGTTAAGCGTTGAAATCTCTGTCAAGTATCATGGAGACACTACCTCATAGATTTTCGATTAAACAGCCTATGACGTAATACTGCCTTCGGCAATACGGCCGATCATGTTGGTATGTGCGTTATCGTGTCTCGAAGAAAACTATATTCTTTTGAAAAGGTTTCTTGAGCCTGAGCGCTTAGTGTTGTTATCAAGTACCGTAATTCAATTAGCAAGTTTGCCGTAATAGTACTAGACGAGAGACTACAGGTAGTCCATTTCATTTTATTTGAAACTAGAGTGTGGATGCAGATGTTAGCGTGAGTAATGAAACGATTCAAATTCACCCCACACTCTCCTAGTGCACTTCCGAAAATGAAAGCTCTAAAACTTTCACGTTACATAATGCTTTGTCTTTAAGCCCCTTCCCACTCAGAAAAAGTCAATTTTGGCCAAATTTATCAATTTTGTGGTTTATAGCTCGTTAGATAGAGCAAAGTGTCTACTCTCGAATGCACTATAGTTGATTGATTTTACGATGAGATTTAAGGATATTACGTAGGTTTTTCTGAACCTTCATATTGAAAAAAATAAGGTTTTTAAGAACTTATTTCTCGTTTTCCTCAAAATCAGTTTTTTCGAGTATACCGTTTACGCGGGGAAACCTTTCTCAATAACGACTCAATATAAAAGTGGTAACATTATTTTTGTTATATAGCAGACACTTAGGGCTAGACCCTAGTAGGGCCTGGTTTTTTAATTTCATTTTGTTTGATTTTTAAAAAAACTTTTCCGGAAGATTTTCAAATTCGTGGCAAAAAAATCGCTAATTAAAATCAAAGATCTAAGTTTTTTANTTCCTGATATTCAGTCGAGTCCTACTCTCGGACTCTTGGTCACTACAGTCCCGAACACTTCCGATAGAATCCTGTCGGTGCCAAGATTATCAGAGAGGATCTGATGGATAAGTTTCTATCTGGAAATAGAATAAAAATGCTGAATAAATATGAACAGTAAAGTTTCTAACATATATATCGATACGTACAGTAAAATGGTTCTAGTTCTACAATGACTCATCGAATTTCAATGAAACTTTTACCACAGATTGTCAAAGTATAGGGCTACAAAATGAAACCAAACCCGGTTCATAAAGTCTTTCTATTCCTGAGTTATGAAGTCCATAATGGAAACAAATCGCATACATTATAACTTTCTTATACTTCAGGCAATCTATTATAGGAATTTTAAAAAAAGGCCATCGGGTAAAATGTTTATAACTTTTGAACGAAGATAACTAGAGCCCTGCGGTTTTCACCATTCGAGAGGGAAGACAAGGGGACTCATTTTTCTCCATATTGTATACGACGAAATCATTTAAAAATCAGTCATTTCTACAAAACATCGAAAAAAACGTATAAAAAACGGTCTGCCATTTAGTTGAAACTTAGACGAAAAGTAAGAAAATATGCTTCAAAATGAAAAGAACTCCTCAGTTTTCGTGCAATTGAATAGACAAGTTTATTTGTTCAACATTAGGAGGTGGAAAGATAATCATTCGAATTATATCTTGAACTATACATTTGAAGTTCCTCTATCTAGACCAGATGTCAGAATCAAAATTTCACCGGAATGACAGATCGTTTTGATGCATTTTCTCGATGTTTTGTAGAAATGAGTGATTTTTAAATGATTTCGTCCTATACAATGTGGAAGAAAAAGGCGTCCCTTTGTCTTCCCTTTCGAATGGTGAAAACCCCAGGGCTCTGGCTATCTTCGTTCAAAAGTTATAAGCATTTTGCCCGATGGCCTTTTTTTAAAATTCCTATAATAGTTGTGGGGGGTATCGTTGATCAGCATTCATTGAGAACTATGTGCACACTAGTTTTCACATCTCCAGCGCATATTCTAACTGAGATCGAAGGGGAAAGGGGGAATACTTTTGTCGGATACTGTATGTATCAAAGAATTTTTACATTGGTGAGTTTGCAAAAGTTTTGTGTATTAAGAAAATATATTGTAAAGATTACGTAATCAAGGGAAGACGTTTGACCAGGTTACAAACATCATCACATCGAGTGACATCAACTTGAACGACATCAATGCAAGCATTATGTTTAACTGCTATCTCTTTAAGTTGTAACCAATCTTCTAGTTCTGGATTATTTTCAGCTTTTTCAAACTGTTCAACTGTACGACGACTCATTAGAACGATATGCTTAACACCTCGTTTTTCTACCATCCAACGAGACATAGTAAGTCCTAGACCACCCAATCCACCAGAAACGAGGATAGTTCCATTCTCACACACCAAGGATGAAAACATCGATCCTATGAAAACAAGTGATTTTAGCAGTAACTATTAGATCAACTGGATACTATACCTTTTCTTGAGCTTTCACTTATCATTGTATTCTTTTCATCTTCTTGGAGTAAAACAGGTTGTTCTGAATTCGTTACACGAAGTATCGTCTTTCCCATAGATGCACCAATACTAGCCTGTGTGAATGCATCAATTATTTTAGATGGCTCAAAAACAGTCAAAGGTTCAAACGGTTTGAATAAACCTCTTCGAAAATGATCGAAAATATCATCGAACATACCACGAATGGTATGTATCTCATCTTGAAGGTGTTGTACCAAATCAATGATATGAAAATTGCAATTTTGTCGCATATCAAAAATCGGTAGACTGGTTTTCGCGTACACATCCCTTTTGCCAAGTTCAATAAAATGACCGTGAGGAGCAAGCAATTTGAATGATTCTTGAAGAAGTATACCAGCAAGAGAATTAATAATAACATTAATACCATTGGGAAAAAGGGTGCGTATTTCGGCGGCGAACGACAAATCACGACTATTGAAGACATGTTCTATTCCATAATGCGTTCGTAGAAAAGATCTCTTTGCCTCACTACCTGCAGTAGCGATAATTCGAGCACCAACTGCCTGACAGTACTGAATGCAAGCTTGACCAGTGGCACCTGTAGCAGCATGAATAAGAACGATTTGACCTTTTTTAAGTTGAATACGCTGTTTTAGCGAATGAAGAGCTGTTAAAAATGGAGTAGGCAGTGCAGCTAACTGTTCATCTGTCAACAAACATTCGTCGGGCACACGTGCAATAACTGAGGTACTGACAACAACATGGGAATGTAAAGCTCCTGCCATGCAACTACCAATAACACGATCTCCTATCTTCAGATCCTCCGAACGAGAAACAGTAACAATACCCATAAAATCAGTTCCAACACTAGAATCATGATCGGCCACATTTTGGTCACAATCTCCTTCACCAAATACTCGTGTGTGAGGATAAAGACCACGTGCTTTCAGGACATCTCTGAAGTTTAGACCAACGCAGTGAACACGGACTAGAGTTTTATCAGGTGATAGATCATTGATCGGTATTGGATCTTTCACCCAAGCAAGGTCAGATACAAACCGCGATGATGCAACTTGAAGTCGAAATGGATTCTTATCAGCATCGGTTTTAGGTACAATGGATGTTTTCATTTTCGGTGATACTTCCTGCTGCTCTTTTGATTGCAACGAATCATAGTACCATCGAAAGCATTGAACATGATTATCTTTATCAAGAGTAAGAATGACTTCGTCAAGATTATTATCTTCTCGTGAGTCAACAATATACTGTACGAGGATGTCGGAATAGGATGACTTTACAAATATGCCTGCTGTTGGTTGTAAGTCAATAAGTTTAATGTGATGATGTGGACATTGGACACTTAAGCTACGGGCAAGTCCAATGAGTGGTGCTATTATTGGATTGAATTTAACACTCATTGCATGTATTGGCTGACAGTTTTGTGTAAGAATAAATATATATGGAAATGGATTATTATGTTGATGATATTTTTGAATCGATTGCAGAATGTAAACAAATTTGTAGCACAAATGCTCTACGTGCAATTCAAATGTTGTTTCATTGTTATTCTGACCAAGTTGCAACACATCGAGTGGCCAGGCAAATACGATATGCAATTGTTTGTGTCGTTTCAACATGATATTAATAGTCGAAGAAATATGATCAATAGTAACAGCATCTGAGAGAACTTCAATGTTAGAACTTGGTAAATGGGGTACAAGTGCGTATGAAAGATTGTGTGCACGATCAACGAATAAGAGCCATGCTTGATCCTGCCATTCGGAAAGGTTAATGAGAATGGATCGGACTATTGATTTTCGCACAATCATGAGCGAATCTCCGAATGTATTCGCTTTTGATGATACTTCCATTGGTTCGAATCCACCTACTGACTGGAATGCTTGTCTCCATTGATCAATATTCAGTGGAGCACGACTGTAATTATTACGCCACCAATAAGGAAATAAGCCAAATATAAAATCGAAATAGGAATGAGTTAAAGTCAATTTGACGACGAAAAGAAGCCCACCTGGCACAAGAAGCCGACGAAGTGAATTAAGTGAGTGATTAATATCACTCGTTGTCTGAAGTATACTGGCCACAAAGATAATATCATGAGATTCGTCTACAAAAAATGCATCAATCAGTCTTTCAATTTTTAGAACATGAGTTATTGTGCTCAACGACAATTTAAATATCCACTGCGTTTATCAAAACACTCACGGAAATATTTTATCGAAACATATTTTTATTCATCTCGAAATAGGGAAATAATTTATATAAACACAATACGTTTGGCCATATCACCGCATTTTTCCATCTCAGGCAGTCGAAAATGAAGTATGTCCAAAAATTTAAACTACGTTTTCGTATTATTTTTCCTGGCATTTTTGCTTTTCTGTACAAACTGTACCAGAAATCATCTGTTTGTTCTAACTTAGAATTAGTGGCCCTGATCGATTACTTCACGCGTTAGAGTTGTTTTGTGGAACTCACATGTATTTTCGAAGAAAATAGTGAGTGTAAGTTTTAAGTTCGAGTTTTCGCGGCTCCCCCCTCCCCCCCTCCCCTTACAGACCATAGCAACCAAAAATAATATTTTATATAAAATATTATTTTTGGTTTCTATGGTCTGTAAGGGGAGGGGGGGAGGGGGGAGCCGCGAAAACTCGAACTTAAAACTTACACTCACTNTATACATTATCAGAGAAAAAGACGTCCCAACTCCTCCTCTTTCGATTGACGAAAACCGCAGATCGCTAGCTATTGCGGTTGTCGAGTTATTGAGCTTACACCCACCCCTATTTAATTCTGGTGCCGACAATAGTTTTCATCATCATATGTATTTTTTCGTCGCTTTCCAAAATAGTTGTTTTAGGATTTTTTGCATTTTTGTAACGCTATTTTAGCAAATATCAAAGGTCTTATTATGTTGTACTATAGACTAGGGTGTATATGCGAATCCGATCGATGGATTCGGTTGAAATTTCGATCTCAGTGTAAGTAAATCATTTCAATTGACTTTCCTGAATACACAACCAAAACAATTATCTGCTATCTATAAGGATTTATTTTGCTGCGAAACACGATTCTAGATGAATGCTGAGGAAGATAGGTAAAAAAACAGATAGTGCCCTAAAGACAGTGACAGACACTTGGACATCCTACTTTAGAAAACTATCATAAACTACAACATACATTTTCACTGTTTTCCACCACTTCTGTTGATCTTACTTTTCATATTAATATTGTGAAAACGGAAACCAAACAGACGACAAGGCTTATCAAATAAAAAAGCGATAAAAATCGACTTAAACTCAAGAAGATAGATATGGATAAAATTGCTGAAAAACAAGAACTTACTCTAATTCTATTTCTAATTAACAACAAATGAAAATGAACAGTTAGAAAAAATGAAATGTATATACTACATCATTCGCTTGTTTTTTTTTCATCAGTAAAAGAAAAACAATCCTGAACAAACATTAATATATTTTATTTATTGTGTTTAATGTGACTTAATTTTGTAAAATATTTCTCTACGAGAATTTTTTAAAACTAATTTGCATATCCAAAACTCAACTAAATTCTCATGTAAACTGTAACATAATCATTATAAAACATAGTTAAGATGTTTTTAGCTCTGGCAAAACAGATACATGGGCGTTTAGAGCCCTATGGAAGTTGATGAATAGCATTAAGGAGAATGACTTGAAAAAAAAGTTTGACTCGGATTGACTGAACGATCTTTGGATTGTGCTTAGCTAACTATATGAATTTATTGATTTGATGTCTGTAGATTGCTTGAAAAATGTATCCATTGCTGTTACATTTACAGTACAAGTGCAGCAATGCTCATTTTATTAAAAAATTCATTTTTAATAGTAAATAAATTATAGGAAACTCTCGTTCAATCAAGCTATGTATTCTATAAATATTGATCGGGTGATTTGCGAGTTTCTTAGACAGGATGCTCTCGAATAGACATTGATCATACACTACAATAGTTTGTTGTTGACATAGAATAGAAATTGAGTAATATGTGTGCGTTCTTATAAACGTTTCTTATGTAAAAATACTTCGATAGAATCAAATCGATGACTATTTGAAAGTAAAAATATCACAATTCAAATATATTACTGATCGACGATGCTTTTTAAATTCGAAGATTGCTCTTATCGGTCGTATTGTGACAAAAAATACTCCATATGATTTCTATCCCATCATAATTCAGTGTGCGAAATGCTGCTGATGACGAATAACAAGGTTTGATTTGATCAATATAATTTTGATGCAGGTAGAACTGCTTCTTCATCATAAAAGACATGATGACTAGAGTGATTCTAATATGGATTCTATTGTTGATCAATGTAACAACCAGCCAAATTCCAAATCCTAATCAATATCGATTCACGTTGACAACGAATAGTATTGTTCAGGAACGTTACGCTATCGATGTGACAGCTGGTAAAATGTCTCGAATGTGGTTCTCAAATGATGGCGATGAACAGTTCGGTGGAAACCAAGACATCTATGTACGCCATGATAAGCGTACCTATTTATTCAATTTTATGGCACAACCACCTCAATGTATTGCCAATAAAGTAGGACCGCCTAATGAAATGTTCTATTGGCCAAATCTCGTACGATCATTCGGTGGCGAACAAAAAATATATGATGATTTGATATTTGATGCTGATTGTGATGGTACTTGTCTGACATGGAAAGTCGAAGGAAATTCTACTTATGAACATAAGCATTATCATTACATTACTCGATTGTATGTCAAAAAAGCTGAGCAGAAACCAATCAAACTTGTAATGAAAACTTTCGATCTTGATACAGGAAAACTAATATCATCAACTGACACAAGATTTCTCAATTGGACAACAGGTGAAGTGCCTGATTATGAATTTGATTATCCTATGGATCTTAATACTTGTTATCAAACGTAAATTATTGTGCATCACGACCATGCTTTCAAGATGGTATATTTTGATAGAAAGAATTGATAACGTTTGAGAAGAAAACATCTAATAAAGATAATGAATTTGACAAGAGCCTAATTGACAAAAAAGTTACCAACTCATGTAAGCACATTGATGGAAGAATGTTGTAGTTCGAGATTGAAAACTGTGGAGTTCTGCTGAATATTATTTGAGAGATTGTGCCATTGTATACATCATTAAGATTAATGCATATGTTCGCTTGGTAAGATATATACAAAAAAAAACAGACAATAATAACGGAAATAGATGTTGCCTTATATATATATGTAATACTACTGAAGTTCATTTTTCACTCTATAGGAATTCCTTTCGTCACCTTTAATTTTTGTCTTTTTTTTTGTTTCTTATAAAATGACTCAATATTATTAGACAGGAAGAAGTAACCCTTAATGAATCGAACTACTACCTTAGAATTTATTGTTTTCATTAAAAATGGACAGAATGACATTGGTAAATAGAATACATTGACAATCTTGATTAGAACTAGACATAAACTAGTCGATATTTCGACGACAACTACTAACTTTGATAAAGGAGAGTAGACTGGAAGATGTGAAAGCCTGAAAAATGACTAATATATAGGATTAGCATTTATACTGTTAGAAAATTTATCTCTAATTTTCTAAAGATAATTTCATGTGAGTATACCAACCGATACAAAAACGAAGATTGTTTTTTTTTAATATAAATATCATTAGAATCAATGCTAATGTATCGGTCTTCATGGTCGAAACAAATAAATTAGAAAATCTTCTTGGTATAGTAAATTTAAACATGTGATTCTTTCTGAACAAATCTATATTCCTAGATCATTGATTATTCTTTTTCTCTCAACCATATTATTTGTGCTTTACCTATTAATTTTTCTGATCAAGTGACACGGTCATGCAATAATTTATTGAACAGACATGGAATCATTGTCAAGTTATGCGACAAAAAGATCTCTAATATTCGTTATATTATACATGTTGATCCCATTTGCCATCGATTCAAAGCAAATTGTTTACATAAATGGAACTGCGTCTAATGATATGCTAAGAAGATTTCACATGAGACTAATTTAGCAAATATAAAATGATGAATAACAGAAAAAGATTACTGTATGATCTAATTGAAAGTTAAAACTCTTATGAAGACTGTGATAATTCTCTTACATCTTTTTTTGAGACTGCGCTAATCATAATGAAGTGTGCGTGCGGATATGAGTCTTCCCTTCAATTACATCCGCAGTCACACCCTAAAAGCAAACAAGGACATTATACATTATGGCATAAAATATCGAGTATATGCACAAAATCATAAATATTAAATGAAAAGAAAAACCAATGTTAATGAAAAACAAATGCTAGCAAAAAATCAAATAAACCCTATCATCAATGTCAATCTTTATGTTTTTCACGATCGTCTTGTTAATTTGCAGAAAAATAATTCAATCCTTTTTGCATTCTAATTATATTAATAAAAATCTCGTTATCTACTTCGAAAGAACGACCTTATCACAACATAATATCATAAATTACTTGACAATATAATAAAGATTCTTTATTCTATTTAGAACGTAAATCCTTCAGATTTCGTCAATATAGCAATCATTTAGTTTTTTCTTTTTTATCTTGAATATTATCGACATTTCTTCATTTGTATAATCACAGCATGATAATCAACTTTATTCTATTCTTTCTTCGTATCGTTTCTTTGTCAAATATTGCATTAGGGAAAAAAAGAAATTTTTAATTATTAGTAAGTTGAATCTATCTATTATATTCAACTTTGATAGAAATTCTTATAGGTTTATTTTCTTTTTAGAAATTGTCTTTTAATATTAATATTTTTTGAAATATAGGTATAAATATTTCAGTAGGAATTAAAACTGTCATTTTATTTCCATTAAACTGTTCGTGACTGGATTGCTACATGTATTTATTGGACTTTGCTGATGCTCGATATGATAAACGACACTTCTACGGTTTATTACTGATGTAATTCGATCATTTTGACCAACTATTGAACGAATAGATTTGATTAACTCTTTACGAAATGTATGAGATGTAAGTGTGTATAAATAAAATGATGTAACTGGAAACAAATATAGCATTAATTCTGCTAGAAAAGTAGAAAATGATTCAATAGCTAAATATTCATTTGATTGATTAGAAATCGGTACTGAAATTGCAATAAACACTAAATTACATAATTGAGGAGTTGTAAATATAATGTAACATATAATTTGAATGATTAATATATTAAGAATTTGTCGATCAAGTGGGTTTCGTTGATAACTCCTTACTGAATATTGTATTCGCTTTTTATACTTATATTCAAGATTTCGACGAATAAGCCATGCACATATGATCATAATTATAGCAGGAAATATGCCACCTCCAATAATAACATAAAAAGAATGATAAAGTGCTGCAACCATATTATCTATAATACCACAGAAATTTCCTTTGATATCATAAAATATAATTCTATGAGAACAAATAATTGACCAAAAACTAATAATGATAATAATTATACGATATGCTATTTTTGGTTTGGCAAAATTTCTTAAATTAACATCATCTGAAGTTAATACATAACGATCAATACAAGCAAAAGCAATGAACCAACGAGAAAACATTAAACATAGTTGAAATATGTAACCACGTAATTTACAAAACACAAGTGATTGTATTTGTGGATCAGAATGAACGAGGCTATATAAGACTGGTACAATGCCAACAATTAATGTTATTAAATGATCTACAGATGCTGCAAAAAAGTCTACAAAAAAAAAAATATATACATACATATAGTAGAAAACTAACACTGCAATTCATAAAATATTAAAACATGCTTTGGATAGAAGTTTTTTGTCTGCTAGAATCAACTATAATATTAATACTTACAAATATAACATGAAGTTTTTCGTAGCTGTGGACGAGAGAAAGCAACGAGGTTGAGTAAACATCCGATAATGCCTAATACAAGCCATATTGGATAAATGCAGAAAGTTAGTGTTCGTTGAATAATACAAAGCGTATTAATAAAAGATGAAGACGATGACATTTTAATATAATATCACAGGTCGTAGAACATAAGTAAAAATAACAAGTTATAATGAAAATGAAATCTGAATTGTAATGATAAAGAAATTATCTATATAATAAACGAATTTGAATCAATATATATAATAAATACAATAGATCTCATTAGTATGAAACATATTTTTCAAATGTGTCTCCCTGTTTTTAAAAATATAATTTTATTTCTTCATAACGAGTTTTTTTTTGTTGCTCACACCTATCATAAGCATGCTTGTGGAGTTTTTCATCTTTTACATCACGCTTATTGCTTGTCATTATTATCGGTCTCTATAGTCTTATTTTACTTGCCTTAATAATTGTATTTGTATTATTAATTATACTAGTTTTTCATTTGATATAAATATCTCAAATAGCTGTAAAGTAATTGTTCAAAGTTGGCAACTTCTTTTTGAAAGTCTTTTGATGAGAAAATGTTAAGATAATATAAAGGTTTATGAAAATTGGATGATTAAAATTTTGTTTCTGGGACAGAGTCATAGTTTCTTTTCTTTTTTTGTATAGGAAAAAGAATAATATGAACGAAGCGTTTTCTAAAAAATTTCTAACACTATTAGAAAATGTAAAAGAAAATGCCTAAGGTAATACTAAAGAATAGTTAATTAAAGAAAGCTATTTTTTCAGAAAATGAGTACTTAAAATGTTAATGTTTGAAATTACAAGATGTTTCCTGTATTATGAAGTGAGAACGAGGTGGAGGAGGAGGAGGATACTGATTGTTCAAATAGATTTTCATATTAATTTTCTGCAAACTTGTCTATTATGATTTTTTTTGGTTTCAAATGTATATATTGTTCTTTGAAAAACGAAATAATTATATGATGTATCAATAAATCATAGAATAATTGGTTAAGTTTTTTTTGTTATCATTCTCATTGAATACTCTAGTATTTAATTCGTATCAGATACAAATGCATTCATTTAACAATATTTATTAATACTAAACATTTGCATGTCAAAAACATTATATCAATAGTCAAGAGAAATATATCGAAAAAGTTTTATTTCCGAATTATGTTGCCATGAAATCAAAATAACATGTTGCTTGATGAATTTAATTATTGATTATCAATTTAATCAGATACATTATAAACAAAAATAATTTCTTTGCAAGTATCTTCATTTTTAGAGCATCATATGTCCCATTTTTCAACATGTTGCAACTTCTATAGGTTTCATATAAACAGATTATACGAAATTTCGACAACTTATCGAATTTCCATGAGAAGCTCAGCAACTTGTTCGAGTTCTGTTGGAGTCTCTACAATAAAAAAGATTATCAAAATTTCAGTTTACCGATGAGCTATAATGAAATGCAACGAGGTTATCAGTGAAATTTCATCATTTTCACAATTTGTCTAATTTTCACTGAAATTTCGACAATATTTTTATTGTTAAAAGTTCAGCGGAAATTAAACAAATTGTCAAAACTCAAGTGGTGAAATTCCGGTTGTCGAAATTCCTTTTTTCTTTTAAAATGTCAAGATGTTTCAATATACATAGGTTAGTCAATGAGTTCTTGGACTCTCAAATATTTATTCATAGAAAAAACATTTTGCTAATCTTTTTATAGTAAATGTACAAAGGAGTCCCCACGATGTTCAGTACAAAGTTTCATCCTTTCAATCCACTCCTGGAATGTCTTTTGGTATTCTTGAATAGATATTAAATTAAGCTCGTTGGTTATTGCTTTAGCTAAACTCGTAGCATCTGAATATGTATCAAGGCTGCGTTTCAGACAACCGAACAATCAAAAGTCTGAAGGAGCACGATCAGGTGACTATGGTAGATGAGTCATAACTTTCATTTTTTCCTCTTGAGGATAATGAAGTTTGAGAACAATATCTTGAATACGTAATTTCGCAATTTTATAATGCAAATTTATGCTACTTGTTTTTGATGATGTTTTTTTCTTATGTAAATTTTTGACTTAAATCTTCAAGTATTTATCACAATAGTTTATATGATAACTGTGTCTGAGATGGTAATAACATAATCAATACTAATATGTGGATCATCATTCACCAGGTCCTGAATCGCATCAATATTTTGTTTAGCAATGATGGTTATTGGATGACCATTACGAGGATTATCTTCCAACGACTCTCGTCCACTTGAAAATCGATGAATTCAATGAGTAACTGTACTATATGAAACAATACCTTGTCCATAAGCAGCAGTTAATTCATCATGAATCTGTATAGCATTTAAACCTAATAACCAACGAGTTTTTACATATAAGCGAATACAAAGTTTATGCATCTGAGAACAGAGGTGTTGAAAAAATTGATTAAAGATTTGTCATAATAGACACTTGTAAAACTTTGTATTGGTATTTTAACACATAACAGATTTCACTACTACCCATGCAGACAGATAAATGGCAAAACGCCGTTTTGATGCATTGACGATGAGAATTGAAGAAAACAAGGCTATAAAACTCGTTTAGTAGAGAAATGCAAGAAATAAACGCGTGAAAACGGTTATTTTCCGTTTAACGCATTTAACGAAGATGTTAGAGTAATGAACATGTTTTAACGTCTGTATGCAAAGAAATTACAGAAGTTAATGCGTTTTAACACAGATATATCATACATTTTAATGAATTGGCATAGAAAAAAATTAATTGAAGAGAAGCTGCTTGTTAATACTGATTAATACAACATTCTATCCAAAGTACACAAAAAGTAAAGAAAACAGCTATCTATTTATTATGGCTAACTGCTTCCACTTCGATTAGAGTACTGAAAAAAAAAACAAAAAGATTTATGAACAGGAACAAATTTAATATCAGTTCCAGATTGAAAAATAAGTTTTTGCATAATAGATTGTAAATTAGTAACTTCTTATGTTGTTTCATGGTAAGTTCCATACAATAAGTTTGTGCAAAAAAGATGTACGTATGTATGTTGCTATCGATGAACTTTGCGATACTATTAAAAATAGTGTCCTCGCTAGCATATTTATGTCGGCTTTTCTATGGAAAATAGTACAAAGATGTGTTAAATTATCCAGGGTGAAAAATGAAAAGAAACAAATAATTTGACTTGAATTCTTGAAAAAAACGGCCGGAAAAAGTTTGATTATTTATATAGCAAAAGATGATATTCGATGTACAAGAAATGCACTTAAACAATCAAGTGTGTTTTATTCTATTAATGTGAGGATACATTTTAGTCGATAGCAGGTAATCTTTTATATCTTTATCTTATAATCCATTTCCATTGGATTAAATATACAAGAAAAGCAACAGAAAACATAAAGAATAGTTAACTCGTAAAGAAAAGATTTTAAAAATAATAAATATTTCGATTGTTTTTTTCATTTGACCATTCACTTTTCCCTAGTTGATTATCGAAGTAGATTTCACTAGCCAATAGTTATCTAATGCTATGTGTTTCTGTGCGTTAATTTCATTCGTCATAATTTCGTTCTTTGTTTATTTCTCTTTATTTCTTTGTCTCTCTCTCGTAACACACTAACACCGTAAGTTGGGAAC